ACCCATCCAACAGCGATTCAATCACTTCAAAATCCCAATTTACTCTTTTCGATCTCCTTTTTATGCGTCACAATCATTACAATCATTACCGAATTTATTTTTATCCACGTGGTTTAAATAAAAAACGAAAATACGAAAGAAATGTTTCATTTTGAGATTTGTACAGCGATCGCTTTTTTTAGATCTTTTTAGATCGCTTTTTTTTTGGTTTCTTTATTCAAATCGCTTTTTTTCGGTTTCTTTATCCAAATCTAGCGCTATTGAATAGCTTTCTTTTAGAAAAATACTTAAAATCAAAGCTTAAAAGCTAACAAAAGCAAATCTTGCAATTTTCAAATCTAAAGCAGATATTAACAATTGCATTTGGTGTCTTTTCTTTTGGTTTTCAATTTTCAATTCGATCTTTTCAATTTGATCCTTAAAAATTGTCTCATTTGCATTTCAAATATTAGTGGTAGAAAGACAATGAGATTCTGGATCAAAACAAAAAAAAAGGGTCATTTAGATGAGCTTTCTCTCACACGAGGCTCCGATTGCATTCGAGAGTCAGTCAGTCGAGAGTCAGTCAACCCCTTTCAACCCTCAAAACACAACAAGACAAAGGGGGAAAGCAGGCAATGGAAATGTATATATTTCAGCTTGATCACTAACTTCAGTTCTTTCTCTTTAGTCTTTTTTTTGTTTAACTAGCATCATTTTTCAATTCTTCACTTCATCATCAAGTAATATTGTTTTGTAAAAGTTTTTTGACAGAGTAGCTAGATGGACTAAATAGCCAGATGGACTAAATAGCTAGATGGACTAAATAACTTTAAAGTTAAAGTAAATCTGTCTGTCTGTCTGTCTGTCTAGTTACCGTAAGCAAACTATTGTAGGAGCTCATAGTCAGCCTTTTGTCTCCTACAGCAACAGCTTTGTCGCAGTCATCAGCTTTGTTAGTCAAAAGAAAATGATTCGATGCTTGTAGTACTTTAAAATAGTTGTGTTGTGTTTTGAGGGTTGAAAGGGATTGACTGACTCTAGACTGACTCTAGACTGACTCTCGACTGACTCTAGACTGACTCTAGACTGACTCTAGACTGACTCTAGACTGACTCTCGACTGACTCTCGAATGCAATCGGAGCCTCGTGTGAGAGAAAGCTCATCTAAATGACCATTTTTTTTTGTTTTGACCCAGAATCTCATTGTCTTTCTACCACTAATATTACTACAGCATATCAGGTAAAAATCTAACCTTAAAACTGAATATTTCAAAATTCTAATCAATTATTTTATCAGCTGAATACTTTACAATACTGTAAACAATCAGTTGCACTGACTTCTGACTTATTTAGTGACTTAAAAGAAAATGATTCGATGCTTGTAGTACTTTAAAATAGTACAAACATCTCATTTCTTTCTCACTACAACATATCTGGTAAATATTGGGTTGATGCATAATTATCCGGACTTCTTTTATAAATGATTTTATTTAACAAAAAATAACATAAATAGTTAGAAAAATATGTTTAATTGATTATTCTGGAGCATATTCACCGCCTACATCAATAACTGATTGCCATTTGCTTGGAAGACGATCGATTCCACGAGCGAAGAATAAACGATCTTTGGAGGCAATCCACGCTTTAACATCGTCTATCAAGTCATCCAAATCGTTGTAGATCTTATTTGTTTGCCAATTTTTGAGCGATCGATTGACGTGGTAGTCCGTTGGGGCTTCTCCAGTTCTTTGAGATCGCGAAACGACTCTGCGGCAGACCATCCCTTTTCGAAGTGGTAGAGCATGATATGGCGAAGATGGATATGATTGTCGACACGCATTTTGTTCACTAAAGAATAACGAATATTTAAAAAAAAGAAATAGACAAAAAGCTTTCAAAACAAAAAAGATACAAGCACGCAAAAAGAAGTCCGGATAATTATGCATCAACCCAATAAATCCAAAAATCCACCCTTAAAACTGAATATTTCAAAACTCTAATCAATTATTTTATCAGCTGAATACTTTACAATACTGTAAACAATTGTATTCTAATCTAAATTTCTTTTTGATCTTTAATTTTTGACTCATCATTTACTGCGTACAAGAAAAATGATTAATTTAAGAAAATTTAAGAAAATGTAAGAATTGTGTCATAGCAATCGCTTCATTGCGCACAAAAATTCCCCCGAACATGGATTTGTTTAGTCTCTTGAGTCTTTTTTCCGACAACTTTCCAAATTGTGTTATTGAATTACATCTTGACTCATAAAAAAAAGCAAAAGAAACTATATAGGAATGGATCTTTTAAAATGTAGCTCATTTCATAATGCTTTTCTTGTTGTAAAGCTTGTTCTTGAGCCAAGAAACTTAGCTTTTACAGTTTTTGTTGTCAAATTTCAAGTCCATTTCAACAATGACGGTTTGAAATTAAAAATAAAACTGAACTATAGCCTCTTGAATAGGGTCTGAGATTTCTAAAGTTGGTCTGAGGTTTCTAAAGTTTTCTTTTCTTCTTTTCCCAAAAACCGGCTTCAATTCGCTTTTCATAAATTTCAACCAGAATACCGTATTTCCTCTAATAGTAGTGCACCCTGAGCGTCTCCTAAATTGCTCGAAATCTTGAGAACCGTTTATCAGAACCTATTGATGTGAGGTCGGAAAATGTAGCTGACGATGAGATCTAGTGGGGGATTCGAGTGTTGAGCTTCTGCAAAAGCTTGGAAACCGTAAAATAGTCACCACCTCGGCTCGCTGGGGGTGCACTACTATTAGAGAAAAGACGGTATTAGCTTTTTTTTTGTCAACTAATCACCATTTTTATCATCATTTTTCATTTCTTGAGCACTTTTCATTTCCCAAATCATTCAGCTATGGTCACTAGACTCAATGCTACATCAGAGAAGTTCGAGGGTCGAATTTCAGCTCAGCAATTGCATTTAAAGCAAAAGATTGAAGAACACCGCGCCACAAATCCCAGAATCGATGCTAGAAACCTTAGAATTCCTATAGTTTAGTCTATTTTGTCTCAAATTTCTGGCAAATCTTAGAAAAAGAATCTCCTCGTTTAAATCCACCCCCAAATTTTTCGTCATCATCTCTTGAAATTCTTCCGAAATGGGGAAGTACTTCCCCTAGAAAAACGATGAGAAAAACATTAGTATGTGCTGAGAATTATTTATTCAACCAAAGTACCACCCCCTTTTTTACACGTATATATTGCTTCAAGTAGCTCATCGGTTTCACTCTTCTACTTCTTTGGCTACAATTAGTGAGATGGGAATTTGTTTTACCCCTCTTTTATACAGCTTTTTGTACTAAAGTAAAGCCCTGTTATAAATAGTGCTTGTTTATCCACTGATTTCACGTACTTCATCTTCGAGATCTTTAGTGCTTTAGATTTTAACTTTTTTCTAGCACTTGATTTGTCTACACTATATGCATTGCAACTCATAGTACCTTCATAGTTCCTATTTAGTTCCTTTATAGTTCTTATTTGGTTCCTTGAAGGTCCCAACTCATAGTACCTTCATAGTTCCTATTTACCGTATTTCTTCGAATAGAAGACCGGGAAGAGACATCGCGTACTCCTGCGAGCAGCCCTTTCAAAATTTCTTTCTGCATAAAAGCTTCAATGAAGGCAAGGGCTGGAAAATGACTCAAAAATACGACATGAGCTAACAGATTTTGAGTCATTTTCCAGCCTATGCACTTCATTGAAAGCTTTATGCAGAAAAGAAATTTTGAAAAGGGCTGCTACGCAGGAGTACGCGATGATACTCTTTACCCGGTCTTCTATTCGAAGAAATACGGTAGTTCCTTTATAGTTCTTATTTGGTTCCTTGAAGGTCCCAACTCATAGTACCTTCATAGTTCCTATTTAAATGCAAATTATAAAGGAACTTTAAAGGAACTTTAAAGGAACTATAATTTACATTTAATTCTTGCTTTTGTTCAGTTTTTATATTTAAAGTGACCCCTAAATTATGCCAAAACTTGGCTGAATGTCTTGACAAATCGTTGTTTTGTCTTGTCTTGTCTTGACAAGTTTACAAGTTGACAATTGACAAGTCTTGAACGTCTTGAGTACTCTTTAAATATCTTTAAATATCAATCAGCTTTATTCACTTTTCACTACGGTACAATACTATGATAACAATTCAATTCTTATTCTCAATTTTCTCAATTTTCTCTAGTTTTCAAAATAGCTTTTTTATATGGTTTCCCCTTCACGAAATGACATCAATTGAAAGAATTTTTCGATCGACTTTCGAATTTCGTAAAACTTTACTCAAAATTGCTAGTTTACGAGCTATAATTTTGCGCTTTTCCCATGAAAGGAAAAGGCTTGAAAGGCTTAATCTTTTACCGTATCCTTTTTTGGATAAAGGGCTACTTTTTGTGAGCTTTTTAAATGATGCTATTGACTTTTTTTAAGCTTTTACGTAGAGCTATACGTATTTCTTTGATACAGTAATCTTTGCATTGCTTTTCTTTAAAGCTACTCAATCTTGTCATCTAAATCTTGTTGTTCTGAGTTACTGTAGAGGCTGGGAGATTAGGGTAAATGAGGGAAAGCAGCTTGAACTTAAGTTGAACATCTAAATCCAACCACTAACCAATCAAACCACAAAGCAGTGATGTCAAAGTTTCAAATAAACAGCTATCTTTGGATTCTGCAAGATGGATTAGATAATAAAAGACTAAAACGCACAAATATCCCAGCACTTCCTGGTTTAAATATTCATTTTTCATTTCATTTCCATAGATGGGATTTCTCAAAAGAAATTCCAAATGATGAAATTGTTTACAAAAAAAAAAAAAAAAGAAAAAATCGGTGAGCTCAAAATCACAGTCTTTAAAAGCATTCATTAAAATATTCCCCTACCGCTTCAGCTCCACCCATTTTATCATCTTTTGAGGCTAACCGCCATCTTTTCTCACAACAACTTCTCTTCTCAAACACCATTTCAATTCTTTACTTTTTTTTTTAATAAATCCACCAACTTTCAGGTAATGATGACAATGGAAAAGTTGATTTCCTATTTCCTCTTGGTCATCCTTTGCTCCATTCCAATCACAGCCGCCAGCGACGAGGAGTTTTTCTTGCGATCCGCAAAATGGTGAGTGAACGTAAAGAATGGATTTCTAATCTAATAACATTTTAGGGCCAAACTTGCCCCATCAGGTGGCAGTCTTGTGTCGGGTAGAGGCAACTTCAGACCCGGTTTTGCTGACCGATCATGGCGATCGGCTATCTACGAACCGACTTTCACTCTCAGAAAGGTAAACAAGGAAAACCGAAATATTAAAATATACCAGCTTTAGTCTAAAATTTTTATGCTAAAACCAATTTTCAGAGAAGTGGACCGGTGAGGATAATTTCTGCCGCTGAACCTCTCTACTAAAATCTCATTCAGCCAAATAATTTCCCTCTCAAACACAAATAAAACTGTGATCATTAAGAATATTTTCCTCTCGTTGATCTCTTCTCTTTTTGTTACCTAAATTTTGAAACTTCGTTGCATTTTCCGTTTTCAGTTCTGGAGCGTGGACCCTGTGTATGTATATCTCATTTATCGCTTGTAAATGAAATAAAAATGTTAGATATAGCAGGTGGATAGACTCAGAAAAACAGAACCTCACAATCAGGAATATGACTTATTTGGAAATAGAGTGAGTATCTAAAAAGAATACATGGTTCACTCACCGATACAACGCAGAGAATGTCACAGACAATCACAGTTTAGGGAAGAGCATACTAAATAGGTATGAAAGAGAGAATTAGAAAAGATCATCAATGGAAATAATTTAATATCGTTTAACATGTAACCTAGGCAAGAAATCACAGACATGATCGAACTCGGAATTATTTTTGAAAAGAAAAGTATTATATCGAATGGAATAAGCTCAACTCTGGGATGTAGCTAAAACGGCGCCATAATAGAAAACGTTGAAAACAGTGCCGTCAAATTTCTCACAGTCCAAAAGACCAAGCTGGTTCAAGTTTTATACCAAAAATTCCTTGCGTTCTTGGCTACATGATGGGTGAAGCAATTTAAAAAAAAGTTAATCTTTCATAGATAAAAAGAGCGCTCAAAATGGGTCTCTAAAGATGTTCAGTTAACCAACTGAGTATCACTTGACACACGGCGCTGTTTTCAACGTTTTCTATCATGGCGCCGTTTTAACTACATCCCTCAACTCTTGCTCTCTAAACATTTGAATCTAAAGCGACACCGGTTACAATTTGAACAAGTATGCATAGTAGCACGAAATAAAATGCGAAAAGAATCACCGGCATTAAATATTCGATTCTTCATCCGTATCATCTGATGGAACCTCGAGCATCGTGTAATTTCCAATTCTCGTCACATCTCGCGGTTCACCACCATTCGAACTCGTATATTCACAAATCTCCTTTAGACGAGCCGCCTAAATCAATTCGTTCGTTAAGAAAAATACAAATTATAATATTTGACGTGCTGATCAACTTGTAAGACAAATGTTATCACTTACCCGTTTCATAGAAACTCCGGCCAAATAAAGCATCGGAATAAGTAAGATCGATCCAAACAATGCAAAACTCATTAAACTGCTCTCCTTGAATCGCCCTAAAATTGAGTTAAACGCTATTGAATATTTAATTGCAAAAAGAATAAAAACGTACCGACTAAATAGCACCAAATGGACAAAACGAGCTTGGTTCCAAAGTTACACAGCAAGAACATGTCGATGTTTTGCGAGGGACGAGCGCCAACATTTTTTTCAATCTATCAAAAAAATTGAGTAAAGTAGAAAAACAACTAACCCTCATCACAAGCGAACAGCTAATCATCGGGGCCGAAGCAGTCGTTAGCAAAAATCCCAAATAAGATGACGGCGAGATCTTCAGTATGATTGAGCCGATTAGAGTCAAGAATACGAAAAGCCACGAAGCCGATGATGTACAACACGCTCCACCACTAAAAATATAAAAACTTGTCTTTGCTGAATTTTATTTGAAAAATCATTAGCCATTATGGTTTACGATAAATTTCAAAAGACCAAAAACTAACATGATGGCTGCAATAAACATGACAAGAGCCATACAAACAGCAGCAAGAATTTCATAGGAGCTGCCTTGTTCCATTGCCGAATACATCATTGCGTAGTTGAGAGCCGCTGCCAGGCAATGACAAGCGCAAACCCGCATTCTGCAGCCAGCCGATAAGCCGGGAGATGTGTGATCGCTCAACTAAAATCACCTTTGCTATTAAAACAAAATTCACCAATACCTTTGCCACTCGAGAATCAGCAATAACTGCCCATGAAAGACAACAGGCGAAGAACGAAAACAGATAAAGAAGAAGAACTGTACCCAGCACCACTACGACGAACCATTCAACGGATAAATCGGCCACTCGGAAAAGCACAGCCGATTGCCTAAATTTTTGAGAATGGCTAGCATAATCGCAAAAACGTACATGTCTTGAATTTTTGTCCCAATAGCTTTGTCGATCTTGTCGATTTTCTCGACTCCTTTAGCAACCATTCCACCCTTCACTTTGCCTTCCGGCTTGAGAGCTAAACAAAAACTAGAAACCGCTTCTTGGAAAATAGTTACTTGACGTTTGAACTAGGGCGACTGGCTCCGTTGTAACTATAGGTGTCGTAGTTGTAGTCACCGTGGCTAAATTTAGTCCATTGTATCAATGTTACAAAAGAAAATGCTTACTTGTAGTTATAGCTGTAGTTAGATCTACTTGAACTCCAGACAAATCTGTAAAAGTCAATTTACAAAGACCCACAAGATTTAATAAAACGCTTACCTGAATTAGCAGCTTCCCGAAGGCGGCTATTTTGTTCCGCTTTTCTGCTGTTGCTTTCGTTTGTTCCAAATGCAACATCCGGCCTAAATATGCCATAAATGAAGAAAACAACTAAATACGCATTACTTTTTCGGCTTATTTTCAGTCAAGCCACTGTTGTCGGAAGTAGGTTTCATATCTAAAAAAATTTCAATAATAAATGCCAAGCTAAGATGCCAACCTTTCGGCAAGTTATTGATCATCAAATTGGCATTTCGTAGATTGTCAATAGCACGTCGATGCATTTGGTGCGGATGTTGTATTGGACCCTCAGTTGTTGGGCTAAAAAGAAAGTTTTTGTCTAGAATTGAAAAAACCATTAAATTCAATAAAAATAAAACTAACTGCCAATCGTCAGTCATTGGACTCCGAAGCAACGTAGGAATTGTAGCACCCAGAGCACACGCAAACAGAATCCAAAAGAACTTGCGGTGACTGCTTCGCCACCACATAAACCAAGTACTCAAACCCGCTAAAATAAGATAAACTTTAAAATTAAAAGCATCACTAGCCATATTTAATTGTTGCTACACATATTCCCTGCGTAATGACAATGATATGAAGAGATGTAGAATCTTGTGGTGACAATAGAATAACGGTCAGTGTTGTCAAAACACAAATGCACGCAAACAACAGCCACATCGAATTAAAACGGGGTACATAAGTTCGAGCTAAAAAGAAATAAAGGTTATAAACTTCCGAATAAAGTACCTATCAAGGCCCCAATAACCAATCCACCCATTTGCAAAATCGGTAAGACATGGCCCTCTGTGCGCATGGATAGTAAATAAATATCGGGAGTCGAATGTAAAGTCAAGCCCTAAAAATACAAGATTTGAAATGCTGTACGAACCTTATTAAAGTTGGCCATTTAAAAAACTAACCGCTATGTAGAAAGAGAGAAGTAGTAAAATGAAGCGACACACGGGTGTATCGGAATGTCTTCGTGAATTTGTAGCCACCCTTTCGCGGCCACTTTGATTCCCAAGAAGTAACGTGTCCTTAAAAATAGTATTTTAATAAGTAAAAATCTAGAATGCCTCTTTTAATCCTGGATGGATCACATAAAAACAAAAACAAAAAGTGAAACCAACCCTATCAAAAATATCGTCTTCGCTGTCATCTTCTGTGTTGGCATCTCCACTAATGTTCACGTCAACAAATTTAGTGCTCGCTTGTGCATACTTCAAATTGCCTTCCTTTCGAGGGCTTTGCTCGTTTGATGTAAGAACTAAAAATTAAATATTTGTTAAAGTTTTTAACAGAAAAACTCTTACTTCCTAATCGAGCCAAAATCTCCGAGTCCTCATTCATGTGCATTTTTGCGAGCGTTTTCGAAGTTCATGTGTAGAAAGCTAAAAAATGTCATTGATTGAGTTGAAAATATTTGAAAAAAACAAAGTTGAGCTTGAAATAATCGAGTTTGAAAACGCAAAAATATATAATTTTCGAATTTCTAAAAAATGTCATTGATCGACTTATTTATGTCGCTTTTCTTAGTTAAATATCTTTTTGATTGCCTGCAATCAGACTGAGATAATTGCGTTGACGGTGGCTACTAGGCGCCAGATTTTTTGCGCAGCTTGCCAGAACTTTCTTCTAAGTCTGTCAATCTTTATGATTTTGGTTTCATTTTGTTGCACTTATTGAGATCTACAAAATGACATCAAAATCATAAAGATTGGCCAATTTAGAAGAAAGTTATGGCAAGTTGGGTAAAAAAATTGGCACAAAGTAGCCACCGCGGTTTGATTGCGCTTGATTGAAGCTTATATATTTCAATTTTAGACAAAAAGACATTAAATTTAGAAAAGCGCCGTAAATAGGTAATGAAAAGGAAAGAGATTCATCGACACTTTACTTTTTTTAATTGCATGGAAGTATCCACACCTTAAGGAGACTGTTTTGATAGCTCATAATACTTTTGTTAAGCCCAAATTTTCGGAAGAAACGTAAAATCGGAAATCTGCGTGGATATTTCTGCCTATGCCCCGTTTTTCCAAAGAGCATTGTGTTGGCAGTCTTGCTGTCAATCTCTACCAGTCTTTTTCTATCTTGTTCTGTGGCACAAATGTCAGGAAATGCAGATTGGCTTTATGCCAGGCATTTACCGTACCCGAGCGCATGCCCATCACCGCGGTGCAGCTGCCAGGCCCCGCCTCTTCTCTCTCCCCATCTAACATTCGATTTGACTGCAGCACACGTTATGTGAGCGCTTTCGTTATACACTATAGCATGTCACAGAAGTGAAATTCTTCAATTTCTATTTTCAATTTACGCTTTCGTCGCAGCACACGCACACCGTGTTGCATAGGTAAAAATATCGGGGAGAACTGAACGCTGAATTTGGTGCCAACAGGCAACATTGAATGATGTGCTCGGGGCAGAGCACAGAGAATTGCGTTTACAAAAATCTCCATCGACTTTGATATAACCGATTCCAAGCACTGTTTAGGGGTGGCTCTTTACAGATTAACGCTTTTCTTCTTTTCTAGTGTTCCTGGTAAACGGGCGACTGGTTCGGATCCCTTATTTGGCTTGTTTTAGTCTTTCCATTAGTTCAATGTTGTTATTTTTGAAAAGCTCTTAAATTTAAGCAAATTTTCGAAAATTTATCCCGTCGATCAATACGAAGTTGAGGCGATGGTAGGGGTAGGGAGGGGTGACGGGGCGGCAATCAATACGAGGGAGCAAGTGGGAATGAGAGAACCTAGAGAAGGCTTTCGGGGGCAGCCCAGCGGACGGGATAGAGGGGTGGCTGTGTTGTGGGTGTGCGCTCTGTCTGTGTTCTCAAATCCCTCCGCATTCTTTCCAGTCCCCCCTCAGGCCGGTCACAGACTCCCTTTCTCCTCCCCCCTTCCACCACTGAGTATGTGTGCGTCGGTTCGGTCATACGTACTGAAGAAAGTTTTCATCGTATAATTGATTTCTAAAGGAAAATCTCTCCGACACAGGCTTTCGGATTGCTGATCTGAAAGAAAGGAAGTTGAATTTCTCTTCAAACCTACCATATATTGTTCAGCTTTTAGGAATGGCATAATTGGGATTAATTGTTCGTTTAGTAGGAACAATAACATCTGTTTTAGAAGATTTTAGGGACAGATCTTTTGTAATTTCCCCAGCTCGTTATTTTAACCTCAAATGTGATGCAACTAGCACTGATTAAAAAATTCTGCAATTGGTTGACTTGAAACTTTCGTATCTTTTTAATCGATAGTTACATTACATCACGACTAGTCTAGTTTCTATCCAGAGTTTGTTCTTTTGCGGGGTTTTTAGTTGTTCATGGGGTAATATCATTCAAATTTAAAGTTTTACGGACTTCTCTGAAAGGGTATTTAATTCAGAATCAGCGCTGAAAACCTGTGTCGAGAATTTGCGGAAAAAAATTAAGAGCTATTCGATGTCTGTCGTCTTTATTTTTCCCTTTCACAATCTCATTAATTTTACATTATTGAATGACTCCCAGAGGTCATGTGTGAAGAGCTTTTAAAGAATCGACGGAGAAAAGATTCTAACAAAAAGTGAAGCGTGTGTAAAAGCGGAAATATGTGTGAGAAGAACTAATATATGAACTGGAGAAGAGAAAATATGCACATCACTGTATTCTTTGCGGCTTTATATCTGTTATCCTTTGAATCTTTACATTCTTTTCCCATCTTTTGACAACAAAACTTCTAGCTTTTATTTAAAACGCTAAAAAATTATGCATAACATTTGAATTCGAATTTTCTCTAGTCATCAAAATTGACGCATTTACCTGTAGTTCTTTTCTTTTAGTGTTTGCTCATATGGTTGACGTTTTGTCAGCGCAAAGTGAACGGATCGATACAAAAATGGGTGACGCGGATATGAAAGATCTCGATCTGGAAGACGGTGAATTGCCGGAAGAAGGGGAAATTGATGATGATGATGAAGTGCCGGAGACGAGTGTCGCCACAATTGCCCCCGCTGCGCCGGCGAGCTCAAATCGACGACACTCGAATTCGCCCGGCAGAAGCAGCCCTGATAAAGCCAGTAGGTTTTGATGAGTTTTAACTTTAGCACTTTAGTTGTAAAAATTTATGAAAGCAGGATATTCGGGCAAAAGAGCTGTTAAATTCTTTGCGAAAAATCACCAACTTTCATTTTAGTTGCAACAATTTAGCAAAGATGTTAAAAATTTAGTTAAAAACCTATAAAACTCATTACTAAAACGTTTAAGTTCTATTTTAGCTGTCTAATCATTTCGAAAACTATTAATTTCAAAACTTTTTAAGATTTTCTTTTTTAGAACGCAATGGTGGCTCGTTTCTTTCGGATTCGTCTCGATTTACGCCACGTTTGAAACAATCATCGCGTTCGAAACGCCCCGATCCAAAGCCGGTTTGTTTTTCTTTTCAATTTTTAGTTCATCACTTTCAAAAGATTTATTTGTATTGAGCCGATTATCTAGTCCACTAATCTAGACGTGTTTATCACTAGCTTTCAGAAGATGTTTGAAATATTCTTTTAAAATTTTCAAAAGAGACTCAAGACGATAAAGATAAAATAAAAAGAGAAATAGCGTTAGAATTTTGGAGGACATAGAATTTTCCCGCAGCTAGTGCCAGCAGAGAGTGGAGGATTAGAGGAGAGTAGAGAGAATCGAAAAAAAAAATGGACTACTGTAGGGGTAAAGGGAGAAAGCCCTATTGCAAGAATCACATCTTGTCAATAAATTTTCCATTTTAGACACCAACTTCTTCTGAGAAACCCGAGCGCAAACCTTCAACAAGCCCACCAAAAATCAGTGAAGATCCATTTGGACCAAAGTATATTAAGATTTCTAACTTGAGTTAAAGTTTTTCTTTAGTGATAGTGATTATCGAGAAGAGGATCGCGATTATCGCAACTATGGCGGTGAAGAGGATTTTGGAGATACCGATTACCGAACAGCTGAGAAGAGGTTAGTTTTATTGTAATTAACAACTCAGAAGAGCTTAGTGAAGCTTGTTTAGTAAATTGTTAATCTTCAACAAATTTTATGCTACTTTTTTAGACGTCGACGCTCTCAATCACCACCATCAGCTGTTGGAGAATGGGGCTCTCGACCTTTAAAACGAATGCGTGGAGGATTTGCACCTCGAGGGAGATTTGCCGGAAGGTTTTTAAGAAAATTTTATAAAGTTTTGAATTATTTGTTTTAGAGAGACATCCCATATCATTTGCAAGTTTTATCGTGAGGGTTTCTGCCGTGATAACGATGCGTGCCTATTTTCTCACAATGCTGAGGACTCACTCCGACATCCCGAATTGTGCAAATTCTACAAACAAGGATTTTGTAAAAAGGTAAATCAAGTGTTTTATCGTCTAAAACTACAGGCTTTCATTTTTCTATTGAACACTTTTAGGGTTTACATTGCTCGAATCTTCATGGCGAATTTCCCTGTATTGGCTATCACCGCGGGGATTGTCGCGGAGAATGTGGTTTCAGGTGTGTTTTTGGTGGATTTGCTGATTTTCTATGCAAAGGTTTGTTTAGCTAATGTTTACATATTTAGTCATCTACCGTTGAACGATTATACTCGACCGATCTTCGACAAGTACAACGCTATTTATTATGGTGATGATTACAGGTAAAGTGCCTTAATTTATCTTTTTGTAAACAATTTTTTTAGACCCGGAGAAGGCCCACCACCAACCTCAACAGCTCGCAGTTTGGATCAAGCAGCCGCGATACCAGGACTTCCACCCGGATTCACGATGCCCCCTGGATTCCCCGGTGGCCCTCCTGCTGGTGCACCACCTATTATGCCTCCTCCACCCAATATGGTAAGTGTTGAAGTGTTTTATCTCATACAGTGTTTATATATTATTATTAGGTTCTCCGTACGGCTAGTCCACCTCCATCGATGGTCGGGAATAATACGACACTACCTCCAATCCCTCGACGACGACCACTTTTGCCGCATCCCGACGAAGAGGCTCGTGACCCGCATACTGGACTTCCGCCACCATCGGTAGCATAATTTAACTAAAACATGTCAAGTCATGTCAAAGCTAGTTTTTGTTTATAAACTAAATATTAAGTTGGTGCACAATTGTTTTTTCCAAACGTCTTTTAAAAGTAGTGCCGCCACCAACAAAATTTCTATTTAAACTATTAAAAAGGTTAATTGTTTCTCTGTAAAATGGCTTATGGGAAATTCTTGAGAGTAGTTGTTTTTGTGGATTTTCGAAGGCGATCACCCAAAACTCCGATGCCGAAGTCGCTATTTGAACACTTTCTTCAATACAAACCTATTGTGGTTTGTAAAATTTTACACAAAAATGCTTTTCACCGAGTTTATGCGAGCTTTGAGCTTTCTCTCAAAAGCCATTTTGTAGAGAAATGATAGACCTTTTTAATAGTTTAAGACGCAACAAATTTGGTAAAGGATTCTTTTCCGTGAAAACAAAATTTGAAAAAAATTGTAAAGACTGCACATGCATCAACCTAATATACAATTTTAGGTTGTTCTTCCGCAACTCTCATCGGTGCGCACGGGTTATTCGCCTCCACCCGCAATGCATCAAGGATACTCATCTCCATATCGACCATCGCCGCCTCGTCGTGAAGAGCCTCCAGTGCAAGCGCCGCCTCCAGCGTTTGACATCAACAACATGTTGGCTCAATTCTCAGCTTCTGCCTCATCGGACGACTCGCCGGCCTCTCCACCGCCACAACAAACAAGTCGTCCTCGGGCGAACTCACTCGGGCAAGCCGTTTGGCGTCTCTTGGAAGTTCTGCGCAACCCTTCCTACTCTACCGTGGATCCCGCAGTGGCGAGCACGTGTGGCCGAGCCGATCCACGAATGGCGAAGGTCTTGGATTCACAATTTGATGCGGTCACCTCGCTAATCTCTTCAAATGCACCAGTTTCGCAGTCATCCTCCTCGAATTCGGTCATCCCACCTCCATCACTTGTCGACCCTCGTTCTCTTGCTGATCCGCGTTTGCGCACTCGTCCCACAGCTCTCACTGATCCACGTGCAGCTGCAACCCGATCCTCTTGGATGCCGCAAATGCCTCAAAGTAGTCTATGAAATCTGTCGATCTTTTTAAAGTGACTTACCCTTACTCACCCTCTTTTCTACTAATTTCAAAAAAAACTGCGGGTTTCCGGTATTCTTTGTGCTTGATATGGGTCCAATCGTTTGTCTTTTCTCGTGGCCCAATTTATTGGCTTTGTAATGTGAAAATGATTTTGTTAAAGGTTTTGTGACCGTCTCTTGCTCCCAAGTCAATGCCTTGAAAAGGCTTTTTATTTTCTTTTCTGAAGTACCCTTGCTCAGATATGCAAAAAACATGCGCGGTCCTATCCTTTTTTATCAAAATGTAGTTTTACTCTTTTTAAAACGTTATTTTAATCTCATTATTTTGTTTTGCATTTCATCTTCTGTTATTTAATATTCACAGTGTATAAATTTTAAGTGTATAAGAATGAGAGAAAGAAAGTGAAATCAAATCAAAGTGAAGTGAAAGAGAAAGAGAAAGAGAGAAACTGTGAAATTTGAGTGTAATTCAGAGAAAAGTCAAATCAAGCATTTATTCACGACAAAATAAATTCTGTACATTATAGGAATGGCTGTTTTGCTGCTCTCAACATCAACATTTCCTAATCATGACTAGCGATCGCAACGTTCTCCACCTGAAATGCAAAAGGTAAAACGAAAAAGTTGTGGAATACATGCATTAGGATACTAACAGCTCCAAAAAGTTACCTCGTGAGCCAACTTCTCGTCGCTGTGATGCTCCTAAAATGATTTTTTCCAGTTAGGTAACAAATTTTTCTCACCTCAGCATGCTCATGATGATCTCCATCTCCTTCTCCCTCGTGATGCTCCTCCTAGAATTTGCAATTTTAGATTTTCTTTATCGATCTACCTTGTGCTCTTCGTGTGCTTCTTCATGGTGTTCCTCGTGGTGATCTTCTTCTTTATGCTCGTGATGGCAACACTAAAATCTTCTTCTTCAAATATGATCTAATTCGAATTCTAACTGGAAAACTAAAGTTAAATCAGCCTTCCTCTTACCGCTTTCTTCTCCTCTTCATGGTGATGCTCATCAGCGCTGTGGGCTTCATCGTGGTGCTGCTAAAAGGCTTTTAAAACCTTAAACTATCAAATATTCTAAAATTTTCAAAGTAAAAGTAGAATGTTTCGAAAAAAACGCCTAACACAACACATTGAAATCAATGAAAAGACTAGATAAACGCTAATGAGAATAAAAATGCTTATTGGGATTACATTGGGATTGCAAAATCCTAAACCCACCTCTTCATGGTGTTCCTCATGAGCTTCCTCGTCATGATGCGCATCGTTTCCCTCATCGTTGTGCTCTTCATGCTGTCCCTGAAATAGAAAATTATAAAAAACAGAAAGCTAAACAGGGATTTTCGGCGAAAAAACCTCATTGTGTTCCTCCTCGTGATGGCCCTAAAATTAGAAATAAAAAACGAGTTTTGTTTTTTCTTTTACCTCTTCGTGATGCTCACCGGCCTCCGCGTGATGCTGAAAAAGAAAATATTAATTTGAAAATAGCTATAATTTGATACGATTGAGTTCCAACTCTGTATGACGCGAGAGCACGTCACGTACAGAGTTGGAATCAATTGTGTCCCAATTCTATCCCAATTGTGTCCCAATTGTGAACGGCACCAATTGTGTTACAGGTGAAAACAAAAGAAAGCTTTGTTTTCTACTCTCATTCTTTTGCAGGTCCAAGTCTCCATACAGGTGATGATGGATTTTTAGGAGAAAAATGCGATCCCAAAGTTGAACATGAGAAAATCGAACCTCTCCCGCGTGCTCTCCCGCGTGCTCTCCCTCTTGGTGTTCCTCGGTGGCATGAGTCTGCAAAAATCAAAGCTAATACTCAGAGATTAAGACAAAAAAAATACTACAGTAACACGATAAGTACGGTAAGTACTAAGGTTCTACTTTTTACGCAACTTGGATTCACATTTATACACTTACAATAAGGTTACATTTACAATTGAGACAATTGGTCTAGGAGGAGTTCCTTTTTCAATCGTAAATTTACTTTATAGAAATCTTAAAGTACCAGAATTTACAGTTAAAAGAGTTACATTTAGATCTGTTACAGTTTTTCTCAAAATCGATCTATGATTTGAATTCTAAGCAAAGCAAACCTCGTGAGTTTCCTCGGGCATTTTTGTCGAGCTTTGGAGTGGGTGCAGTGAGTTGAAAAGTGAATGAAAGTCCGTTGATCGTCTGAGGTGCTGAGGAGGGTTTTTATACTTGGCAAGGACAAAGATTGGAAGTGAAATGAATGACGGGAGGGAAGAGGGAACAGACAGTGAAACGGCGTGAATTGTGTGGTGCAAAGGAGGGGCGGAGTTTCCGGTGTGAAGCCGACTCTCCGGAGGTCTGGAGCCGAATTACAGAATTACTCACTTCTTCACTCTTCACGCGTTCATCTCTCAAGTGATAGCTGAATTGAGTCGATTTGCTGGATGCTGAATGCTGAATTGAGTCCATTTGTTTGTAGAAAAGCGAGTGAAATGCGTGAAAAGGCTTGTTCGATTTGCTTTTGCTTTAGCAAACGTTTACCTCGATTTTTTTTTTACCAAATTAATCTAACTGAACTAAAAGAGATCTAAAGAAGTGCCCAGGTACTGTTTTTAAATTTTATTCTTATCTAGCTATCAGTAAGTTATCTTTACTCGACTCTAACTCATGATCTAGCTACAGTACACCAACAGCACACCAATAGCCTTTAAAGTACATACAGTGCATTAAAGGACACCCTATATTCTCTTTATTTGACCCTAATGCATAGCTAAAGTACACCAATAGCCTAGTTACAGTAAATCGATTAAATCCTTAGTCGATAAATAGCCGGATAATTTCTCTTTACCCGATTCTAACTCATAGCTAGTAGAAATAGTTAAAGCTCAAGTTAAAGACCTACAAGAAAAATAAATCACAAATGCTATCAGTTGACGCTATCAACCACACAAAACTGTTGATAGTTTGAAAAAAGCGCTCGAAAAGGCTTGAGAAGAGCTGGATCTCCTATACCTGAATCTGGATCTCCTATACCGGAATCTGGATCTCCTATACCTGAATCTGGATCTCCTATACCTGAATCTGGATCTCCTACACCTGAATCTGGGTCTCCTATACCTGAATCTGGATCCCCTATACCTGAATCTGGATCTCCTATACCGGAATCTGGGTCTCCTATACCTGAATCTGGGTCTCCTATACCTGAATCTGGATCTCCTATACCTGAATCTGGATCTCCTATACCTATGAGAAAATTCCAAGCCGAACCAAATTCCACCTTCGTTTTCTCAGCCATTTCTTGGCCGATTGCTCTGAAATTTTGTCTACAGATAGAAATCGACATTTTCAACTTGTAGACAAAATTTCAGAGTAATCGGTCAAGAAACGACAGAGAAAACGAGGGTCGAATTTGGTTCGGCTTTTAATTTTCCCATTTCTAGTACACAGTGTTGTATTAGAAGAGAAAATTTTCATTCCTAGTCAATGTGATGCAACCAGTCAACGCCAATATTTCAATTTTCCTACCTACAACCAATTTTTGCGCTTAAAAAAGGTAAAATTCGACTTTTATCACATAACCGCTTTCCGGCGTTTCGCGGAGTTTAAAATAAAAAGTTTAAAGAAAAATTTTTAATTTTTCTGGATATCTGGCCTTTTCAAGATATCTGGCTTACAAGTTTACATTTTTGATCTCTATTTGAGGCCTCAACGCCACCCCATCAGCTGTGGCTGCGTAGTCGAGGGGATAGTGTCAAACAAAAAAGTTTGACATGAGGGAAATCGAACCAAGGTAACCGAACCGAGAGCATCCCCTCGGCCACGCAGCCACATCTGATGGGATGGCGTTGAGGCCTCAAATAGAGATCAAAAATATAACCAAAACTTGTAAGCCAGATATCTTTGTATTTCCATGTTATGCTGAGTTTAAATTTCATAAAAACAGAGATTTCAATCAAAAATTGTTTTTTCTTTTTCGATTTCTAGCTGATAGACTTTGTGAAATGGGAAAAGAGGGTCAAAAATGGGGGGGGGAAGGGAAAGCACGTGATGGAGAAGAGAAATATGGTTTAGATTGTTTGGAGAGAGAAGTCTAAATTCAGAAAGAATCTCGGATATTTCAAATAGTTTCCTCGAGTTCATTGAGTACTCATTGAGATGAGGGTTTTTTTTTTCAACTTGGCACTTTCTATCGAATGATCACTCGAAAAAAAGAACCCACGCGCCTCACCAATCACTTTTGGCTCCAATCCTGAACAAATAGAGACGAAGCTTTCTGGAGACAATCAAAAAGGGGAGATTTTATTATTTTGATACAAATGATCAAAGGAAATTGAGAAAGAAAGGTTTTGGATTGGGTTAAAGGATTTGGCTTTAGGATTAAAGAAAAGTAAAGTAAAGTAAGTTCTATAAAAAGTATGAAAGAATTCTATAAAAAAGAAAAGATTCTAGCCAAAAGTGATTGGTGAGGCGCGTGGGTTCTTTTTTTCGAGTGATCATTCGATAGAAGGTGCCAAGTTGAAAGAAAACCCTCATCTCAATCAAGGATCAAAGAAAAGTAAAGTTCTATAAAAAGTAACAAAGAAAAAGAAAGAATTCTATAAAAAAGAAAAAGAGACACACGAGATAACCCTAAGCGAAAAGGAACACCTATCTATCAGGACGATATGCCAGATGTCGAGCGTTTACCAAGCCGCACAAAGAACACCTCGTCCTCTATATTGCTGAATTTGCTTTCTATTGTGAATCGTAGCTTTCTCATTCATAACTTTATTCTGCCATAAGCCAAAGTTCACTTCAATGCCCTGAAATCTCTTTGTTCTCTTGAAATCACGAGTTTCCCCTTCAAATTGAACAATTGAACCCCCCATCTCTATCATGTGCAATTTCATTCTTTTCAAACAGCTGTTATTCTCGAATGGCTTTATGTCACAATGGCAGAAGAACTCTTATCGAGAGAATCCAAAAATGGATTTATAGCTCATTTTTATTGCCACTTTGTGAGCAAAATTGAAACGTTGTGGCACGTGACCGAATTTCCGGGTTTGTTGAGGTCGTGAAGAGTTGTGAAGAAAAAAATGAAATCTTTTCTATTTAAAACAAAGTGATCTCAAAGATCTCAAAGAAAATGATCTCAAAGATCTCATAATTCCAGGTTTAAAAGATACTGTAAAGGCTAGGCTTGACTCAAAGCTTGACTAAAAGCTATTGAAATCTTAGGCTCAATCAAAATCGACCAAAATTCGCATTGCTCAACGAAAAGCATTCAAAGAAAAAACGGTTCAGACTTGATTTGATTTGATTTTAATTGATTTCATGCATTAACGATGAATCTACAGTACTGGACAATGAAATATCATATTTGAAAAGCGATCCGACAATCCGACTCACTCGCTCATTGCTTCTCCGTTCTCGAAAGGGAAGCTACACTACTGGACAATGAAATATCATATTTGAAGTCACTTTCGATCGTCGCTTTCGCGCTTCTATAACTCCCTTGTCTTTGAGTTTAAACTATTAGTGTTATACATTTTCTGAAAAGCTCTTTTCAAGGGCTACACAATGGTAATATTAATATTCAGAAATACGGTAAAGACAAGGGAGTTACAGACGCGCAAAAGTGACGATCGTTTTTCAAATATGATATTTCATTGTCCAGTAGTGTATATCCATTCTTGTTTTTCAATTCATTTTTTTGAGCAATTGTATGAAATGGGGAACAATGAGTTGGCAAGCGGAAGAACTCTTTGCCAAAAGTGTGCCATTTCTGATAAGAGCTTTTACTACCGTTTTTGCGGGAATCACATTCCTGAATGGGAGATGATTCAATGTGAATAAAGAATTGAAATTTCATCAAAGATTTCCGACAGATCTTTGATAAGATTTTAAAGTCTCATTGATTCTGTATCATTTTACTAGAGGTAAAAAGTATTCAGCCGATCTGTTGCCGATCTGTTGCCGATCTGTTTCCGATCTGTTTCCGATCTGTTACCGATCTGTTGCCGATCTGTTACCGATCTTTTTCCGATCTATTTCACTTTAACTTTAGCATACTGGAACGAGAATGCTGAATGAATGCTGGCATTCAGTTAGAGTAAAGGTAAATGGAAAATGAGCACTTTGAAGACCGCAGCAGCAAAATGAATGAGATCAACTTTTGGCAGCTTTGAGTAACCGAACTTTTACCCGTCTTTTAAAGAAATTCTTCAACCTTTTGTAGAATCATAGATGAAAAATCTGATTGTTTGCAAAGAAATGAGTGATTTCTGTGTGTTTCTCCATCTCTTTCTGCTGCTATTTACCCAACTTATCAGCTAATCGCCTTCACAACTTCCGCCACAACACAATGCTAATTTCTTTGAGGAATTGTTGAGGATGGAGAAGCTAGAATTTAGTTTGACTCGTCAAATGTCAATGTTGGATAATCAAATGATTGTTATCGGATTGTTATCGGATTGTTATCGGATTGTTATCGGATTGTTATCAGATTGTTATCGGATTGTTATCGGATGGTTATCGGATTTCTAAAATTCTTTATGGCAAATTGAAATCTTTAGAACAAATAAAACAAATAGAACAATCTTTAGAACAAATTGACTCAAATAGATTTGTCTAATGAGGGACAAAAAAAGAAAAGAATTGGATGAAAGGAGAAAAATAAATGAGAAGAGAATCCCTTGTGACCTTCCAAGAAAAGCTCGTTTTTCTTTTGTGTAATTCGATTTGTTTAAGCTAAAGCTTAAGAGTTTAATGCTTATTTAGAATTTATGATTTTCAGATGTTTGTAAAGTTTTAAAGTTCTTGAAGTTCTTGAAGCTCTCTGTAAGTTAAAGAGCTTAATTGATTACCTGAAAAAGAGTGTTTGTAAAGTTTTGAAGTTCTTGAAGCTTTCTGTAGCTTTCTTGAAGCTTTCTCTTTCTTAAAGAGCTTAATTGCTTAATTGATTACCTATTTTGAAGTTGTATCGATATTTTTGTGTAAACTTTGTAACTTATTAAACACTTTGAAAACTATTGGGTTGGTGAATTGAGAACTGCGGGCTATTGTCATATGTGACAGTTTGAGGACTTTCTTCAAAAGAAACCCATTTTGGTGTCAATGGAAAAGTTGTAGAGAATCAAAAATCAAGCTTATATCCAAATTG